CTCCCTCAGAGGCCAGTTGGTCCGCCTAATGACCCACGTTGACACAGATGTGAAGGATTGTGCTGCTGAACTGCTGTTTGTGCTCTGCAAAGAAAATGGTATAGTTGCAGTTTGCAAGACTAACTGTAGTGATGGGAAAAGTCAAGTTTTCAAAGGACTCTATACAGTCAGGTGCGAGTTAACACAGTGCTGAGAAGAACAAACATCAGCAGTAATCTTAGAGCAGATTATTATTATTATTTATTGTACAATCTACTGTACAATATGAAGCGCCTTGAGGCGACTGTTGTTGTGATTTGGCACTATATAAATAAAATTGAATTGAATTGAATTGAATTGAATTATTCTTCCCAAGAGCTGACATTCTATCCAATTTACCCCAAGGTCAGACAAGCTTTGAGAAATTCCAGAAAAACCGAGGAGCTACATCTCAGATCTTACAGGCCTCAGTTAATATGTTAAATGTTAAAATTAGCAGTACAATAACAGCAGACAATACTATTAGATGTAAGAAGTTATGTATGGAATGGCTGACAGGTGAAAGTGTCTTCTCTGGAAAAAAAAAAGAGCCCCTGGTATTTCTCCAGCTTCTTGTGTTTCTTCTTCCTGATATTACTGTCATTCTGAACCGCTACATCGATCACGTTTTCTTCTGTCTTCCACCACTATGTCCGGTTGGTCAGCCATCACCATTTTGTCCGTCTGTTTCTGGAAGTCCAACAGGATCTTAGCTCGACCATTCTCCACCACCCTTTTGTCCTCAGGACTTCCAGGCCATATTCGGCACAGATGTTTCTGTACACTATGCCGGCCACTTGGCTATGGCGTTCCATAGATGCCCTGCCTGCTAGCTTCTTGCACCCTGCTGTTATGTGCAGGATGGTCTGATGGGCAAACTCAGAGACATGGCAAGAATGAACTCAGAACTAACTCGTTAAACTTAAATCATCCTAATAATATCAAAACACTCGGAAAAGTACAAAATTAAATAAATAACCAAATAAAGTTGAAATGCTGGGATTCATGTGTGGGCCATTGAGTCATAGGCTGTCTTGTAGTCGGTCCAGGCAGTGCACAGTTCAGTCTGGTATTGCAGTCTAGGACGACTGCTCGGTCCACCAGCAGCTCATATTTGGCCCCTCTGGTGTTTCTGCCTATCCCTTTCTATGCCCCGCTTATGTATTGAGAGCCATGTGCCTGTTCATCTTAGCCACTATGGTGCCCGACAGGAGCTTCCATCTGGTACTGAGGCAGGCTATTGCTATTTGGTCCCTTCTGGTCCCTTCTGGAGGTCCTTGGGTAACAGGACTGTGGCCTTCAGTTAGCCATTCTGGGTGTCTCATCCATTAGCAGCTGGGTCATTTGTGCTGCCAGATGCTCATGGAGTACCTGAACATCTGGAGCCTGGTTATGTCTAACTCTTTTTACTGGAGACCTGTTCTTGGATGCCTACCACTGTGATATATATATTTTCTTTCTTTAATTCCCGTCTCGCCCCTGTGGGCAGTCTATCATTCAAGCTTGTGTCCTCTACCAGAGGCCTGGGAGGCCGAGGGTCCTGTGCAGTAGGTTAGCTGTTCCTAGGACTGCGCTCTTCTGGACAGAGATCTCCAAACTTGTTCCTGGGATCTGCTGGATCCGCTCACCTAGCTCCAAGTGCTCCGATTACCACTGGGACCACTGTTACCTTCACCCTCCACATCTTCTTGAGGTCTTCTCTAAGACCTTGG